CTCGGCTCTACGGACTCATCCAAAGGCAGAGCTGAAAGCGAGTGACCGGTAGGCAGAGGAGTGGACTATGGCGAGGAGTGCTGGAAGTCGAAGCGCTGAAGGACCTGCTGAACCATGTGTGACTGAGTCAAGGTAATGGTGCGGCGTGCTCTGTCCCGGGTGATCTGCAAGCCAAGATAGCTGCGCAGCTCACCCAGGTCTGTGCACGTGTGTCTCCTATGCAGCTCCGACTTCACGTGGGCCAGTCCAGCAGTGTCAGCAGTGGCAAAGACCCAAGTCGTCGACGTACACGAGGATGTAGAATGGCGGCAGCGAATTGTCGATGCGTAGAAACTGCGACGGGTAAGCAGTAGAAGGAGCAAACCCAAGAGCCGCAAGAGTCGTCCTCAGTGTGTCGTGCCACTCAAGAGGCACCAGGCGGAGACCGTAGACTGGCCGCCGGAGGCTCCACTGCATACTTGCAGGAAACAACCCGGAAGTGCCATCTGGTGCGTGTCGGGGATAGTAGGAGGACGCTGACGCGGAACACCACGACCAGTGCAAACAGCGTGAACAGGCGACGGAGGATGAGACGCAAGCTCACGACGCTCTGTAAGACCTCCGGGCTGCTCAGTGTATGGAGAAGGAGCAGGCAGTGGGGAGGCTGGCTGTAAGTGCGGCTGGGACTGGTCAGGCGGTGGACACAGTAAGGGAGAACTAAGGTCAGTAGAAGGCGGGAGACCAAGAACCTGCTGAAGCAGGGGAACGAATTACGGTCGCGGTCGCTCAGCGCCTCCAGAACCAGCACCGACAGCACCAGTACCTCCAGCACCTCCAGCTCCAGCTCCAGCAGCACCTCCAGCTCCAGCTCCAGCAGCACCCTCAGCCCCAGCAGCTCCAATACCTCCAACAGCTCCAGCTCCAGCAGCACCTCCAGCTCCAGCTCCAGCAGCACCTCCAGCTCCAGCTCCAGCAGCACCTCCAAGTCCAGCAGCACCTCCAGCTCTAGCTCCAGCAGCACCCCGAGCCCCAGCAGCTCCAGTACCTCCAGCAGCTCCAGCTCCAGCAGCACCTCCAGCAGCTCCAGCTCTAGCAGCACCTCTAGCAGCTCCAGCTCCAGCAACACCTCCAGCTCCAGTAACTCCAGTACCTCCAGCAGCTCCAGCTCCAGCAGCACCTAGAGCAGCTCCAGCAGCACCCCCAGCCCCAGCAGCTCCAGTACCTCCAGTACGAGCACCTCCGGGACCAGGGGCTCCAGCACCTCCCGCAGCTCCAGCTCCAGCAGCACCACTCCGGAGGCTCCAGCGCCGAGCAAACCACTCGCGCAGCTGCGGTGGAGAGAGCGTCTCCCGACGGGACAAGACACCCGGAGGACCTCTAGAAGGCAAAGTACCCCCAGGCTCAGCACCCCCAGGCTCAGCACCCCCAGGCTCAGCACCCCAAGGCTCAGCGCGCTCAAGCTCAGCACTCCCATGCCCTGCACCCGCAGGCGCAGCACCCCCAGACGCAGCACCTCTAGCAGCACTAGAGTCGACAGCTACCTCGACAGGCTCAACAGGGTCTACCAGGGACACACCTAAGGGAGCAGGACCCTGAGGGGGGAGGGGGTCTACCGGAGGAGGACCTGGTGCGAGGAAGAGCGACGGGGGAGGGAGAGGGGCAGTGCGGTAGGGGAAGAGACGGTAAAAGGGAACCGACTCGTCAAACGTGACGTCCTGAGAGGGCAGGATACAGCGCGAGTTGTGGTGGTAAAACAGCCAGCCAGGGGCGTCAGGGACAAATCCAAGGAAGACACAGGGAACGGCGCGGGAGGAGAGCTTGTCCACGGACATATCGCGGACAAAGGCTTGAAATCCCCAAGCTCGGAACACCGACGCATCGCCAACCTCCCCCGTCCAACGCAGTGTGGACGAGGTCTCCGGCAAGGAGACACGGGGCCAGAGGTTGAGGTGATGCGCAGCGTACTGGACTGCAAACGGCCACAGAAAACAAGGGGCAGCCGCATGGATCATGGAGGTATGAGCGACCTCCATGACTAAGCCAATGCGGCGCTCAGCAACCCCATTCTGCTACGGAGAGGCCGGAAGCGTGAACGTCTAGCGAATGCCCTCCCCACGACAAAATTCCCGTAAGAGGTCTGAGGAAAACTCACCACCTCTGTCAGAGTGCAGACGCAGGACCGAAAGGTCAGTCTGGAACCGCTCACGGAGCTGGAGACGAACAGCGCGGATCCAAGGGATCAAAGCATCAGGGACCTCCCCCTTGCGGCGCAAGGGGAAGACCGTGGTGTAACGCGTGTAGTCGTCGACAACTAGCGGAAAGTACCGCTCGTGGCCCTGTCCACGGACGCGGGCTGGGCCCAACATGTCCAGATGGAGAGTCTGCAGGGGAGCAGTCGTCGGGGGGAACGAGGAGGAGTGAGGAGCAGCGCGCTGCCGCCCCTCGAGACAGGGAAGGCAGGGAGGGGCAAGCGAGGGTGGGAGGGGAGGTAGAGAGTTGGGAAGACCAGAGACCAGGAGACGGGAGTGCATGCCACGAAGGCGTGCCACGGAGGGGTGACCAAGGCGGTGGTGCCAGAGGAGCGTCTGGTGCGACATGAGCAGGGGGCCGCTAGCTGACCTGACGCAGACACAGGCGCAGCTACCTGAGGAGGGGTAGTAGTCAGTGTGTACAGACTCGACCCAGGCCGGCGGGTGAACGTGGCCAGGTGCCTGCCAGTCCGGGAGCACGTACAGATCGCCACACGCTGTCCTCCAGGGGTGAAGGTATCAACCCACTCATCCTGAAGGACGGCGTTGCTCACCAAGTTCGTAGAGAACAAGGGGAGGTAAAGACCTGACAGTGAGCCAGACGGAACCGCCGAACACGACAGAACAGTCGAGGAACGAGCAAGGACTGGGTCCCCAGAGGGGTCGGCCAGAGAGACAGCAAAAGGTGCAGAGAGCGGTGTGACTGTGGTACTGTCGCGAAAGAAACAGCGGGAAGCACCTGAGTCAAGCGTGAAGGTGTGCAAGGCCGCAGCAGGCGCAATACCAGAGAGAGCAGACTCACCAGCACCTAGAGCAGCAGACTCACTAGCACTTAGAGCAGCAGACTCATTAGCACCTAGATCAGCAGACACACTAGCACCTAGAGCAGCAGCCTCTATATCTGGGTCGGGCGGCACACACAGGTAACAGTCACCCTCAGCACTAACAGGCAATGCATACATGGCAGTGAGGATAGCATCATAGTCAAGGGCAAAGATATCCACTCTCTGCCTAAGCAGCTCCACCCAGCTGGGGAGCTCAGCCGCGTCACCAAACTCTGTACGCCAGGCGTTGCTCAGACCGGCGAAGCAGCGGGACTGTGTGTGACCAATTGTCCTGCAAGTCTGACCAGCCCGATCACCTGTGCGAATGACGTACGGGCAGCGAGCAGTACTCCGAGACCCTCTACTCTGAGCGTACCACTCACGTAGCTGCTGTGGCGTAAGGGTCTCACGCAGACGCCGCTGCAGCTGCATCTGGCCACCGTCAGAATCTCCCGACGGACCAGCTCCAGGGCGACTGCCACTACGGCCGCCGCCACAACCCCAACTATCGTACCACTCACGAAGCTGCTGGGGCGTGAGGGACTCGTGCGGACGTCGCTGGAGCTGTATCTGGCCACCGCCAGAAACTCCCTACCGAACAGCTCCACAGGGACTGCTACTACGGCCGCCACCACTCCCACTGCTGCCACGAAGTGAAGTCATAGCGGGCAAGCAAGGAGGCGCGCGACCAGTAGGTCAGTACGGAGGGAAGGCAGTAGCACGAGTAGCAGCAGCAGCAGTAAGAGCAGCAGAGCGGCTCGGTGAGACTAGGCTGCAGCACCTCCAGCACTCCTAGCAGCACCTCCACCAGCAGCAGCAGTAGCACGAGCAGCAGGGCGGATCGGGTTGGGCAGGGCGACTCGGGCTGGGCGGCGCGGCTCAGCCTGGGCTGCGCGGGCAGCAGGGAGCGTGCTGTGCAGTGCAGCAGGGCGCGACGCGCGGGCTGCAGCAGGTCGCGACGTGCGGGGCAGCAGGGCGCGACGCACGGGCTGCAGCAGGACGCGGGGCAGGGCGTGTGCGGGGCAGCGCGACGCGGGGCAGGGCAGGGCGTGCGCGGGGCAGCGCGACGCGGGACAGGGCAGGGCGTGCGCGGAGCAGCGCGACCCAAGGCAGGGCAAGGCGTGCGCGATGCAGCGTGACGCGGGGCAGGGCGTACACGGGCAGTGTGACGCAAGGCAGGGCAGGGCAGGGCGCACGGTGACGGCGCAGCAAAGGGCAGGGTGTGGGGTAACGCGGTAACTGCAGTCGGTCACTAAGTAATGGTGGGCCCGAAAAAAAAAAAAAAACCGGTCCTAGGCTAGGACCTGCTCTGAAACCATGTCAGGAGAATGAACGAGGAATGGAATGACTAACAGCAGGATGGGTACAAGTGCCAACCCTAATTGGGTTGCACCCCATATAGTTTACCCCACTACAGCCTACACAATGAGCAACATATAAGTTTGACACTTATCTCGTACACTACTCAAAATGCTTGGGTTATCTTGAATTTGGGACGGTTTAGGGTGTCTTATAAGTCTTATAAATGGACAAAGAACGATTTAGAAGATACCCCCTCGATGTACAATTGCCCCTAACCCCTACACTGGCTTAACTCGTACACATTATTAGGTGTCTTATAATGAGGCTAGCTTGTTTATAAGAGACACCCAGATAATAGACAACCCCTGTCTACTATTCAGCACTGTCTTCTATCCGAGCGATGACGGTAGTGCTTGTCCCCGTTATTGTAGTGCTTGTAATACAGGTACCGTAATTCATATTGTAACAATCAGGATAGCATTGGGGCCAAGGAAACTTCTGAGTTCAGGTTGTTCGCAATGCTGCACCAGCCCGAATTGGAAAATAATGCTTAAAATATAATCACATCAATCTTGTCAGATGTTGACGTCCCTGTTGTCACAGACACACTGTCACGATTATTGAAAACCAGAAGCCATCATCATACCTAAAAGAACTGCTTGGTGATACCAGTACTGGCCGACGAGATCCTGTGTTGTGATAAATTGTTGAGCCCAAAGTCCAATTCCGGCTGCCCTATGGACTCGTTCCCTCCCAACCCTAACCCTGGTTCACTCATCTGGTTAAAATGACTGGTCCCATCGCTAGAAACCAGGCGGTTACCATGAGAAGGCCCCATGTTTCCTGCACGCGCTGCAGCCTGTTCAAATTTAACACCGGCGGCTGACACACCCATGGAAGCAGCAGCAGCAGCAGCAGCAGCAGAGGACAGCACACCTCTTGCAGCAAGTGCTGTGGCAGCGGCAGAACCAGGCACACGAGGGGAAGATGAGGATGCAGCAAAGGGTAGCTCCCTGCCCTGCGTGTTGCTGCCCAGCCCGTGAAGCCTGCCTCCTCCCCTGCCCTCTCCAAACACGCCCTCTGCTGGAAAGAACCCCCCCCCTTGCAAACTGGCGCTTCCAGACTGACCCGACACTGCCATACCCCCTGCCATGTTGCCTCCCATGCCTCCTGTCATGCCGCCTGTCATGCCGCCTGCCATGCCTCCTGCCATGCCTCCTCCCAAACCCCCTGTCATGCCTCCTGCCATGCCTCCTCCCAAACCCCCTGTCATGCCTCCTGCCATGCCCCCTGCCGTACCCCCTGCCATGCCCCCTGCCATGCCTCCTGGCATGCCCCCTGCCATAACCCCTGCCATGCCCCCTGCCATGCTGCCTGTCATGCCTGTCTGGCTGGAAATGCCCACACCATGGCTTGGCCTAGAAAGGCTAATGCCGCCGCCACCAACGCCGCCAGTACCGCCAACGCCGCTGCTGCCGCCGCTGCTGCCCCTGCTGCCAGCGATGGCTTCAAACTGCCCCGTGTTCAGGTTGAGACCATGCGCACCCGCACCAGGGCGGCTTCCTGTCACAAAGTCAGGGCGCGAGGGAGCAGCAGCCATGGAGCGAGGCACAGGTTGACGAGCGCCAGCAGGTGCTGCCACATGCGGACTCAGACTGGCCGCAGCGGTACCAGCAGCTGGAGCAGCAGCGGCCACAGCAGCAGCCAAGGAGGAGGCAGCCAGAGACGCAGCAGCTGCAGCAGCAATATTCCCCCCCCCAACAGGACCCGGTTTCATCATTCCAGACTGTGGCAGGAGCTGGTGGGGAGGCTGTCTCAGGTCACTGGAGACACGAGAGATTGATCTGCTCCTCTCAAAGCCGCCACTCACAGCAGTCAAGGCAGCGGGCAAGGCGGATTCCACAGAGATATCTCCCCGCATGGGAGCACCAACACCATGGTCCCCTGCATCTGCTGCTGCTGCTGCCCAGAAGCTGCCCGCCCTACTGTCTGCTGCTGCACCTGCTGCCGCTGCTGTGGTGGCGGAGGAGGGGGTTGCACCTGTGGCGCCTGGCAAGGAGGATGGCGAGCGAGCCACGGCTTTGCTTCTGGGTGCAAGACCAGCTGGCCCTATTGGCCCTGCTGCTTCTGCTGCTGCCCCTGCACCCGCCGCTGCTGCCGCCACCGCTGCTGCTGCTGCTGCTATTGCTGCCTGTGGGAACAGAGGCCATTCCTGACCAGCCAGCTGTTGACGCTGCTGCTGTTGCACCTGTTGTTGCTGGTTTTGCTGGTGCTGCTGCTGCAGCAGGTGCTTCTGTGAGGGTTTCCGTTGCTGCTGCTGCTGCTGCTGCTGCTGCTGCTGCTGCTGCTGCAGGTGGTGCTGTTGCTGCAGTGGGTGCTGCTGCTGGTGCTGTTGCTGGTGCTGCTGCTGCTGCTGCTGCTGCTGCTGCTGCTGCTGCTGCTGCTGCTGCTGCTGCTGCTGCTGCTGTTGTTGCTGCTGTTGCTGCTGTTGCTGCTGCTGCTGCCGTTGCCGTTGTTGCTGCTGTTGCTGCTGCTGTTGCTGCTGGTACTGCTGTTGCTGCTGGTGTTGCTGTTGTTGCTGGTGCTGCTGTTGTTGCTGTTGCCGGTGCTGCTGCTGTTGTTGCTGTTGCTGCTGCTGCTGCTGTAGCTGGTGCTGCTGCTGCTGCTGCTGCTGCTGTTGTAGCTGCTGCTGCTGCTTCTGTTGTAGCTGCTGGTGCTGCTGGTGCTGCTGCTGCTGCTGCTGCTGCTGCTGCTGCCCCTGCACTGGCAGCTTGGACAGTGAAGACAACTGAGGAGCCAACTTCTGGAGTTGCTGCTGCTGCTGTGCCGGCAGCAGCTTCACATGAGCCGGTACACCCTGCTTATCCAACCCGCCAACGCCCCTCTGCACCTCCCCTTGCTGACTCAACCCCACCACCTGCCCTTGCTGCTCCTTCTCTCCACACTTCCTCCCAAACCCCGCACCCCTCTCCCTCCTCACACCCTCCTCTCCACTCCTCCCACCCTCAACCCCCCCAATCGCACCAACCACCACACTCAACTCCCTCTCCGCCATCCCACCTACCCCTCCTTCCCCACCAGCAGCGCCCTCCCCAGCCACACCCTCCCCGGCAACCCCATCCGCACCACCGGCAACCGCATCCCCAGCGTCGCCGTCTCCCCCTGCGCCGCCCTTCTTGCGGCCCCACTGGCGCGTGGAGACGGTGCCGTCGGGCAGGAAGTCGTGCGCCACGCGGTGGCGGTGCAGGTAGCGCCACATCTTGCGGTCCGCCAGGTACTTCACACACGGGTCGCGCTCGTAGTGCAACCGGTCCATGGCGCCACTCACTATCTGGTTCACCTGGAAGGGGGGGAGGGGTTGGGGGAGAGGGGAAGGGGGGAGCAGGGGAAGTGGGGAGCAGGAGGGAAGGAGCAAGGGAGGGTTTGGTGACGAATGGCAAGGTTGGGGAGAGGAGGGGGTTTGAAGGGGGGATAGGGAGGATAGCAGCGGTGGCGGTGCAGGTAGCGCCACATCTTTCGGTCTGCTAGGTACTTCACACACGGGTCGCGCTCGTAATGTAAGCGATCCATGACGCCATGGCGCCACTCACTATCTGGTTCACCTGAGGAGGGGAGGGGGGGGGGAGGGGAGGGTGGGACAGGAGGAGGGGGGAACATGTGGGGGCGAAAAAGGGGGAGGGAGGAGAGGTAAGGAAACAGCGATGCTGACAAGGAGCCATGGAAAGACGATTCAGACTAGACAGCTCACATACTCCTGTGGGGGTAGCAGGAACACGAGCATGAGCGTGAATGCCTGCCTGCCTGCCTGCCTGCCTGCCTGCCTGCCTGCCTGCCTGCCTGCCTGCCTGCCTGCCTGCCTGCCTGCCTGCCTGCCTGCCTGCCTGCCTGCCTGCCTGCCTGCCCTGCCTGCCTGCCTGCCTGCCTGCCTGCCTGCCTGCCTGCCTGCCTGCCTGCCTGCCTGCCTGCCTGCCTGCCTGCCTGCCTGCCTGCCTGCCTGCCTGCCTGCCTGCCTGCCTGCCTGCCTGCCTGCCTGCCTGCCTGCCTGCCTGCCTGCCTGCCTGCCTGCCTGCCTGCCTGCCTGCCTGCCTGCCTGCCTGCCTGCCTGCCTGCCTGCCTGCCTGCCTGCCTGCCTGCCTGCCTGCCTGCCTGCCTGCCTGCCTGCCTGCCTGCCTGCCTGCCTGCCTGCCTGCCTGCCTGCCTGCCTGCCTGCCTGCCTGCCTGCCTGCCTGCCTGCCTGCCTGCCTGCCTGCCTGCCTGCCTGCCTGCCTGCCTGCCTGCCTGCCTGCCTGCCTGCCTGCCTGCCTGCCTGCCTGCCTGCCTGCCTGCCTGCCTGCCTGCCTGCCTGCCTGCCTGCCTGCCTGCCTGCCTGCCTGCCTGCCTGCCTGCCTGCCTGCCTGCCTGCCTGCCTGCCTGCCTGCCTGCCTGCCTGCCTGCCTGCCTGCCTGCCTGCCTGCCTGCCTGCCTGCCTGCCTGCCTGCCTGCCTGCCTGCCTGCCTGCCTGCCTGCCTGCCTGCCTGCCTGCCTGCCTGCCTGCCTGCCTGCCTGCCTGCCTGCCTGCCTGCCTGCCTGCCTGCCTGCCTGCCTGCCTGCCTGCCTGCCTGCCTGCCTGCCTGCCTGCCTGCCTGCCTGCCTGCCTGCCTGCCTGCCTGCCTGCCTGCCTGCCTGCCTGCCTGCCTGCCTGCCTGCCTGCCTGCCTGCCTGCCTGCCTGCCTGCCTGCCTGCCTGCCTGCCTGCCTGCCTGCCTGCCTGCCTGCCTGCCTGCCTGCCTGCCTGCCTGCCTGCCTGCCTGCCTGCCTGCCTGCCTGCCTGCCTGCCTGCCTGCCTGCCTGCCTGCCTGCCTGCCTGCCTGCCTGCCTGCCTGCCTGCCTGCCTGCCTGCCTGCCTGCCTGCCTGCCTGCCTGCCTGCCTGCCTGCCTGCCTGCCTGCCTGCCTGCCTGCCTGCCTGCCTGCCTGCCTGCCTGCCTGCCTGCCTGCCTGCCTGCCTGCCTGCCTGCCTGCCTGCCTGCCTGCCTGCCTGCCTGCCTGCCTGCCTGCCTGCCTGCCTGCCTGCCTGCCTGCCTGCCTGCTGCCTGCCTGCCTGCCTGCCTGCCTGCCTGCCTGCCTGCCTGCCTGCCTGCCTGCCTGCCTGCCTGCCTGCCTGCCTGCCTGCCTGCCTGCCTGCCTGCCTGCCTGCCTGCCTGCCTGCCTGCCTGCCTGCCTGCCTGCCTGCCTGCCTGCCTGCCTGCCTGCCTGCCTGCCTGCCTGCCTGCCTGCCTGCCTGCCTGCCTGCCTGCCTGCCTGCCTGCCTGCCTGCCTGCCTGCCTGCCTGCCTGCCTGCCTGCCTGCCTGCCTGCCTGCCTGCCTGCCTGCCTGCCTGCCTGCCTGCCTGCCTGCCTGCCTGCCTGCCTGCCTGCCTGCTGCCTGCCTGCCTGCCTGCCTGCCTGCCTGCCTGCCTGCCTGCCTGCCTGCCTGCCTGCCTGCCTGCCTGCCTGCCTGCCTGCCTGCCTGCCTGCCTGCCTGCCTGCCTGCCTGCCTGCCTGCCTGCCTGCCTGCCTGCCTGCCTGCCTGCCTGCTGCCTGCCTGCCTGCCTGCCTGCCTGCCTGCCTGCCTGCCTGCCCTGCCTGCCTGCCTGCCTGCCTGCTGCCTGCTGCCTGCCTGCCTGCCTGCCTGCCTGCCTGCCTGCCTGCCTGCCTGCCTGCCTGCCTGCCTGCCTGCCTGCTGCTGCCTGCCTGCTGCCTGCCTGCCTGCCTGCCTGCCTGCCTGCCTGCCTGCCTGCCTGCCTGCCTGCCTGCCTGCCTGCCTGCCTGCCTGCCTGCCTGCCTGCCCTGCCTGCCTGCCTGCCTGCCTGCCTGCCTGCCTGCCTGCCTGCCTGCCTGCCTGCCTGCCTGCCTGCCTGCCTGCCTGCCTGCCTGCCTGGCCTGCCTGCCTGCCTGCCTGCCTGCCTGCCTGCCTGCCTGCCTGCCTGCCTGCCTGCCTGCCTGCCTGCCTGCCTGCCTGCCTGCCTGCCTGCCTGCCTGCCTGCCTGCCTGCCTGCCTGCCTGCCTGCCTGCCTGCCTGCCTGCCTGCCTGCCTGCCTGCCTGCCTGCCTGCCTGCCTGCCTGCCTGCCTGCCTGCCTGCCTGCCTGCCTGCCTGCCTGCCTGCCTGCCTGCCTGCCTGCCCTGCCTGCCTGCCTGCCTGCCTGCCTGCCTGCCTGCCTGCCTGCCTGCCTGCCTGCCTGCCTGCCTGCCTGCCTGCCTGCCTGCCTGCCTGCCTGCCTGCCTGCCTGCCTGCCTGCCTGCCTGCCTGCCTGCCTGCCTGCCTGCCTGCCTGCCTGCCTGCCTGCCTGCCTGCCTGCCTGCCTGCCTGCCTGCCTGCCTGCCTGCCTGCCTGCCTGCCTGCCTGCCTGCCTGCCTGCCTGCCTGCCTGCCTGCCTGCCTGCCTGCCTGCCTGCCTGCCTGCCTGCCTGCCTGCCTGCCTGCGCCACACACGCCCTACCTGTGCCTCAGGGGACTCCGCCACAAAATACTGCGAGTCCCGCAGCAGCGTGCACACGTCCGCGCGCGTGCCAATCCCGTTGGGCAGCCGCGCAGCAGCATCGCGCACGAGCGACAGGATGGTGACGTGCGGGGGGCGCTCGAGCTTGAGCATGGCGTGGTCGCGCGCCTTGGCCACGGCCTTGGCGCCATGCCGCACCACGGGCGCCACCATGGCCTTGCCGCCGTCCGTGGCCGTGTAACGGAAGGCATGGCAGGGGATCTCGTACCGCAGCCGCTCCTCGCACTGGAACAGCGCTCTCATGTGCGCCGATGCAGGCGCGAGCGTCACCTGCGGAACGTGGGGAGGGGAGGGGGGGGAGGGTGGGGCGGTGCACGGGAGGCGCAGGGGGGAGGGGGAAAGTGGGAGGGAAAAGAAACGAGATGTGACGTGGAATGGATTGCACACAAAAGGCGAGCAGAAGCCACACCGGCTATGCTACAAACCTGCCTATACACCCCACTCCACTCCACCCGCCCCTATATCCCGCCCGCCCGCACAGCCCACCCACCCCCACACTCCACCCGCCCCCACAGCTCACCTGGCTCTTGAGTTGGCTGAACGGGGCACGAGGCTCGTTGACCAGCGAGCGCGAGAGCGCGGGCAGGTGCGGCGAGTCGTCGCCGTCCCTGGGCGCCACGCGCGCGCCTTCCCCCCCGCCTCCTCCTGCTACGCCGCTCACCCCGCTATTCTCCTCCGCCTTCCCCGCCACCGCCCGCCCCTTCCCCTCCGCAGGCGCGGATGGCGCATCAACAGACGGAGCACCGGCACCCGCACCACCTGCACCGCCCGCGCCCGCAGCACCAGCAGCAGAGTCTTTCGCAGAGGTGGTGTCAGGGAGCGGGAGCGGCAGCGAGCCGGCATCCTGCAGCATCTTCACAAACCGTTCTTCCAGGCGACTAAGCCCCTTCTCCGCGATGCCCCAGCTCAGCGGGTCCGCGTTCACCGGGCGACTCGGGTCCATGGCGTCCGTCACCGCGCCGCACCACGCCCACTCCGACCCCTGCCGCCGCGATTGCACGAACGGCTTCCATAGCCGCGTGCCGGGCGGCGCCTTGGTTTGCAGCACCTTGAGCGCCGTGATTACCAGCTCGCCAAACCGCAGCGACAGGCGCAGCGCGCGCGGGTCGCCCGGGCGCTCGCGCACGCGCTGGACGATGTCGGCGGAGTGCATCCACGCGAACGACGCCTCGTCGCCGCAGATCCCGCCGCCCTCCCCGCGGCTCTGCATCAGCACGTCCCGCGCCGCCGCCAGCAGCGCGCGGATGGAGAATCCGATGTCCGCCGCCGCCCCCTCGGGCTGACTCGGCTGACTAGATTGACTCAGCTGACTCGCGTGATTGAACTCGCTTCCCGCCGCAACTTGCGCATCCAGCGGCTTTTCGTCAAACGTAGCTCTCTTCGCCGCGCGCCCGCTGTCGTCGCCACGTGAAGCCAAGGCAGCTTCGGCGTCCGGTTCGGGTTCCTTCCGCTTCGCACCGTCCGCCGCGAGCTGCGACTCCGACCCGCTCTTCGCGAGCCGCGCGCGGCCCGCCGCCGACAGCCCGCCCTGCGCCTTGACGTCGCGCCAGAGCTGCAGGCGCTGCGGGAGGTCCGCGTCGGGCAGCTGCTGCCAGACGGCGCGCATGTCCCGCAGCCCGCGCGCCATGTCGTCGTGGTAGCGGCGCACGTTGTGGTAGTGCTGCTTGCGCTGCAGCACGCGCACGCTGCGCGCGAGCAGCTCGACGGCGGGGTGGAACTTCCCCGCCGACAGCTTCCCCCAGAACGCCTGCACGGGGCTTCCGAAGTGGAACGCGGAGTTCTCGAACAGATGCTCGAGAAGCTCCGACGGATCCGCGCGCTCCGACGACGGCAGAAAGCGCGCGAGGCGCTCGCGATCATCGTCGTCGAGCACGTTGTACCACGTGTCGAGCGATAGGAGAGAGCTGGGGTCCTCTAGAGTGAATACCTCCGACGGAAGCTCAATCACCTGCGTGCCCACCAGACACGGCTCCGTCGCCGATGGCGATTCCGTAGCCGCCGCGTCAATCGCGGGAAGCGCGGGAGGTGCCATGATGATCTCTCCTTTTAATTCAGGGTTGCGCCGAGACGTTACGGCGTTAGCCATGGCGGTTGTTTTGGTTTCATTCAGAGTGCAAAAGGTAGTGGGATGACTGCTGTTGGGTTAGGAGACGTTAATCTGCAAAGAACCCTAAATAGTGGGCTCAGATGTACTGTGTTTAGGTCAGTGCGTGTCAGTTCAGTGTCTCGCCCTGGGTCAGACCTAGCTCCCAAACCTGGCTTGCCCTAGGCAGTTCCCTAACCAGGTCGTGACTCTCGGCTAGGTCCAAAACCGAAGCTTGACCTCTCTTTTGGCCATTCTGTTTGGGATATGGTCTACGTGAAAGGGAAGTTTACAAACTTAAAGCCCAAGACTTGAATTACTCAACGGAAGTCAACGCTAAAAACTAGGTTCGGGAGGCAGGCACGGAGAGGTTCGGTTGGGTTGCGAGAGATTTTCACTCGCGAAACCAATTTGCGACAAAAGTTTCTCGCTTCCCATGATGGTTGGTGTAAGGATTTACAGAATCCTTACTGAGGCACTCGTTAGCGAGGCCATCCCGAGGGTCACGCGACGAACCTGTCCTTCCTATTTCGTCGCACCGAACCACTCCCGAGTCGCCTCCGCTCCAATCGCAACCATCACCGAGCCATCCTCGCCCAACCTCTCCGCCTAGCTAGGACTTCCCCTATTTAGTCGTGCCTTTCTCATTGTATCGTCATTCAGTACTCAATCATTCTCGATATTCGTTTTACTGCGCACTCTGCAAGTTCATTCATAACACCTGGTATCAGAGCTACTTTCCTAGCCTACCCCGCTTTTTAGAGTGTAGTACTCCTCGGGGGGGGGGACGAGGAAGGATGTCTTGGGGTCCAGGAGTTGCGTAGGCCGGCCAGGAGAACGAGTTAGTTGCTCCTCGCGGCCATGGTTTTACGGGTACTCCTTCGGCACCGCCAGATCCTTGCCTCGAACGGTCGCGATCGACCGTGGCCTCCCTCCCCCCGGGCAACGGGCAGCAGTAGCTGTCGCGACGTTTATGTGAGTAATTTCCGCTGCGATTTCCGACGATTTCGGAGGTTGATTCGTGTGGCAGCTGGCGTCAGCGGACCTGCGTTGGCATTTGCATGAACGGCCTCGAAGTCGTCACGTGAGTGGCAGTTGACGCCGTCGGACCTGGGTCAACAGCTGCGCGACAATTTTGGAGTTCGTCTGAAGCGGCAACTTGCGACGGTGGCTCGTCGTCATTTTGCGCGCATGACTCGCAGAATGTGTTTCGGCAGCTGGCGACAAGGGACGAGCGTCACTGTGGGCGATTATTTCGGAGCAACTGTGGAGAAAAAGTCGGCTGGGGAACTCGCCAGGCGCAAATGGAGTTTTGCGTCCGAAAATATCGGTGGACGAGGAGAGACGACACGCGAATTGCCCGAATTGTGCGGGGTCAACTGTCGTCCCGCCCGACCTGAAGTGCAGCGGCTTTTACTGCATGGCGGGCGCGTCATCGAGTATTTCGGCAGGAGTGCACGTGGACAGACGGGAACTTCAGACCCGCCGACACTTACGGGTTGCAACGGAAAACGGAGTGGCTAAATCGCACTCACGAGGAGTGGGACGCAGGCGGCGAGGGCAATTCGGGCCCATACACCCCGAAGAACACTCGGATGACGCTGCGTGCCTGGTACTGTTGACTGCTGGCCGGCAATTTCGAGAGTGGATTCCCTGTAAGGAAGTCATTTTCGGGGACAGCCTCAACAACCCACGATTAAACGGTGTTCAAGGTACCACGCCGACAGTTACGGAGGAGAGTGGTACAGGCCGCCGGGACACACGAGAAGAAACTGCCCGACGGTTAAGCGGGGGTTGAAGAACGGCGTGAAGGGCAGGTTAAAAGCCGGTGTGAACGATCTGTGACCTTCCGTCGCCCGAACCTCACCATCCCCACCAAGTTTCTAGTTCTGGCTCATGCAGTCAACTTGCTTGGCCGAATAACGGGGGTGAACACGGGCCTACCCTGTGCTGGTTAAAGGTACCTGGATTGGTGCTCGTTCAACAGCTGTACAGAAAAAACAAAAAAAGGTGGAGTTGCGGCACTGTTCTACTCCGACAAAAGCGGACTGGGTGAAACAGCACGCGAAAAAATCGGGGCGCCGCATGACAACAATGGTGCAGTTCGCTGGTCTCTCCTGACCCGGGCGTCTACACGAGGTGACGGCGCAGCGGCGGAGCTGGAACTGGGAGCTGTGGAGTTTTAGTGGCGCGACGGCACGGTGGGCTGCAAAGCGGTTGGGAATGATTTCCTTTTAACTAAGGCTACCCCGACTCCGATGGACTTTTCTTCTCCACCGTGGCTGGGTTCGTGCGGGCAACACCGACTATACCTCATCCGAAAAATGCGGATGCTGGGTGAACGGCGGGAAGCGGAATTGTCGGGGGGTGAAACGACCAAAAAATTATGAAGCTGCGGGTATTTCTTCGCTTCTTGGAGTGCGGTTGAGTCGTTGGGGGACTTCGCCTGAAGGGCACTTTTCGAAGTTGCCTGACAAGAAACACAACGGCAAGGATACCTAGGACCCCCGGTGTTTAAACGCACACCTCGGGAAAATCTTCAGAAAAAAGGGAGCGTGGAAGCTTCGGGAACTTATCGACCGGCGACGAGCGATGCGGTGAAACATCTGCAAAGCGCTGGTGGGAAACGTGGGTTTTTGTTAAACAGCATCGGCGGGAGCAGTTTCGACTACGGAGTCAACGGCGTTGATGCCTCTAGGTTCCGTGAAATTCGGTCTCGGAATAACCCAGGGCAGTCCCCGGTTCTCGATTGAACCCACATGCTGGGGTCGGGTAACCGACGGAAACTGATGGTGACCGAGTGGGCGGCTATAGCACGTCCGAGGTTTTCGGAGGCGAACTGCAACTGCAACTGCGGATTTACGGGGTTTGATTCGAGCAACAATTTCGGAGTGTTTACGTGGGGACTTCCCGGTTTTACGGCAAGGTGCGCCGACAATTTCGGAGGAGTTGCGGCGTTTAGTTAAACGCGCGCGTCAAACGGAGGGGGGCAGCACCGCGAGATTTACACGGACTTTTTCAGGGGTACGAAGGACTTACGACGAACTGAAGAAGGCGGCAGCAACAGTGAAGGGGGGGAGCGACAGCTGTGAAATTTCATCCCTGCCCAAGAATCATCGACCCATTACGACAAAACTCTCGGAGAAACCATTTCCAACTCTGCTACCGACAACTCGCCTTCGACCCGCCCACGACAACTGCATTAATTCTCAACCACGTCAGGAGCTGCCAGCTGCAACTGCTGAAGATATCGGCTGATTCTGGTGACGTGAAGACAAAACGGTTCAGTTCGAGTATTCGATAATTTTAGTTTCAGTTTCCGGTCTACATCTTCGGGTTCGCCCTCGAAGAAATTTTGGGCACGTAACACCTGGGATTCGTCATCGAGTTTCCACACCGACGCAAATTTCACCTGGGTCTCTACGCTCACCAGTCTTCTCAGTGGGACTTAACACCTGGTTTTGTTGGTTTTCATCTCGGCGCAGCTGCGAAACTTTTCTGTGGAGCATTTCTTGAAGGGGGGGGGGAGAAAGTGCTTTGCACTTTTTCTTTCCTCGGCGTTTTCTCGGCACAATTTCTGACTTTGTCAGAATGCAGCAGCACGACGGACGACTGCGATCGCTGCTTCACGATCGACGGTTTCTGCAACCCCGCGATTGAATTTCGCGTCAGCAGGTTCCCTCCAATCTCGCGTCAGTCTTCGACCGTCAGATCCACATCTGCTTCATCAGCGGCCCACATTCCAACTTCAACTTCATTTTGGGCTAGTTCATCGTCGACCGTCAGATCGAAATCGGACAACATCAACGGCCTACCTTCCAACCTTTTCAAAAATATTATCGAAGGCATTTCGGCCGTCGGATTCAGATGAAGGGGAGATCTACGGCATCCTTGCTAGTGTGGGGTCCGTTTTCAGTACAAGACTGCCTTATTTAGAAGGTGGGAGAGTGTAAGGATTTACAGAATCCTTACTGAGGCACTCGTTAGCGAGGCCATCCCGAGGGTCACGCGACGAACCTGTCCTTCCTATTTCGTCGCACCGAACCACTCCCGAGTCGCCTCCGCTCCAATCGCAACCATCACCGAGCCATCCTCGCCCAACCTCTCCGCCTAGCTATGACTTCCCCTATTTAGTCGTGCCTTTCTCATTGTATCGTCATTCAATACTCAATCATTCTCGATATTCGTTTTACTGCGCACTCTGCAAGTTCATTCATAACAGTTGGTGCCCTTCCCACAACCAGAAACGCGCGAGCTTATCAAACTGTGCACAGTTTGGGATAGCACGCAGAGTATTAGGCATAGACCATACCTGTAGACAGGGCAGGGCGTCGGCGTTCACTCAAAAGGGAGTAGATGCGCCATATGATTTGGGTGGCGTGGATTTGCAATGATGACGCGCAAAGCTAGTTTGCGCTGGGTGAAGATTATTGTGTCGAAATGCAGGTTATTGTGCAACTATTCCGTAGCGTAAACTCGTGGCGAAAATCGAATCGCAACCGTTCGCCCAAACGTGACCCTCCCCTCGCCCTCGCTTTCCTTTCCCACGCTTCCGCTCTCTTTCGCCCGCGTCGTCGCCATCGCTTCCGCAGCTCGTCGCGTGCCCGTCGCCTTCGCTCCGCCCGTCGCCTTCACTTCTCCCCCGTCGCCTTCACTTCTCCCCCGTCGCCTTCACTCCCCCCCCTCTTCCGTTGCCTTCATTTCCCCCTCCCGTCGCCTTCACTTCCCCCTCCCGTCGCCTTCACTTCCCCCTCCCGTCGCCTTCAATTCCCCCTCCCGTCGCCTTCATTTCCCCCTCCCGTCGCCTTCATTTCCCCCTCCCGTCGCCTTCATTTCCCCCTCCCGTCGCCTTCACTTCCCCCTCCCGTCGCCTTCACTTCCCCCTCCCGTCGCCTTCACTTCCCCCTCCCGTCACACTCGCTTCCCAACCCGTCACCTTCACTTCCCCTCCCATTGCCTTTCACTCTCTCCTGCTCAATCTCTTTCCCCCTGCTCACTCTCTTCCCCCCTGCTCACTCTCTTTCCCCCTGCTCACTCTCTTCCCCCCTGCTCACTCTCTTCCCCCCTGCTCACTCGCTTCCCCCCTCCTCAATCGCTTCCCCCCTGCTCACTCTCTTCCCACTCTCTTCCCCCCTGCTCACTCTCTTCCCCCCTGCTCACTCTCTTCCCCCCTGCTCACTCTCTTCCCCCATGCTCACTCGCTTCCCCCCTCCTCAATCTCTTTCCCCCTGCTCACTCGCTTCCCCCCTCCTCATTCTCTTTCCCTCTGCTCACTCCCCTTGTTCTAACCCCACTTTCCCCATTTCTCACCCATTTTCCCCCTTCACGCTCTCTTACCCCCTCTGCTCGCCCCTGTTTTCCCAACTCACGCCTATACTCACTCTCTCCCCCCCTGCTCACTCTCTTCCCCCCCTGCTCACTCTCTTTCCCCTTGCTCACTCTCTTTCCCCCCTTCTCACTCTCTTTCCCCCTTCACGCTCTCTTTCCCTCCCTTCCGCCCGTTGCCCCCCTTCGTCTCGCGCTCGTCCCCTCGCAATCCCCGTCTCTCTCTCCCCCCGTCGCCCTCGTTTTCCCCGTCGCCCTCCCTTCCACTCCTCGTTGCCCTCGCCATCCCTCCCTTCTCCCTTCCCATCTCGCACACTTGTCACGCCCCCTTTCCAACCCGCACATACACCCTTCCCTTCTTCCCTGTTTCCTCGTATCCCCTGCGCTGCTTCCCCCCATCCTCCGACTTGCTCCCCCCATCCCCTTCCCTGCTTCCCCCCTGAGAAGAAACGAGGAATGGGAATGACTAAGGGAAAGTTGGGTACAAATGTGAACCCTAGAAAACTGTACCCCATATGTGCTACCCCACTATAGCCTACAGTAGCTATGTCATATAAATCTGACACACCCCCATAGGCAAAGTGGGGGAGAACAAGGGGTCACAAGACCAGTCAAGCAAAGCAAAGCAAGCTCAGGGTGGATCACAAAGTCACCACACATTCCGAGCACAAGTTCAAGGCCACAAGGCCAGTTCACATGCAGGATTACATATATGTATAAGGCTAGACAAGCAAGAGCAGGTGTATATATATATGCAACAATACAAACAAGGTCAAGGGGTGAGCAAGTGAGGCAAGGTAGGCACAAGACCCAGCTGAGTACAGAAGCGCTGATGATCACAAGGCGCAAGTGCCTTGGTGAAGATATCAGCAGTGTTGGCCTGAGAGGCCACGTACGCAAGCCGCAGCTGACCACGCTGCTGTAGCTCACGAGCAAGGAAGTAGCGGAGAGCAATGTGCTTCGTTCTGTGCTCCAGTCTCCGCTCTCGACACAAGGCCAGCATGGCCTTGTTGTCTACGTACAGCACTGGAGGAGAACGAGGCGGCTCTCCGAGGTCAGTCAGCAGGTAGGTGAGCCAGCGAAGCTCCTGTGCAGCCATGGCCCCGGCGTAGATCTCAGCCTCACAACTGGAGCCGAGAACAGAAGACGAGCGGGTAGCCCGCCACGAAACAGAGCCGGAACCAAGGCTGAAGGTGTAACCCTGTGACGACCGCTGCGTAGCCTGGTCGTCAGACCAAGAAGCGTCTGCGTGCCCAGTGAGGACCACTGGACTCTGCCCTCCAAGCACAAGCCCCATGCCCGACGTACTGCACAAGTAACGCAACACCCTCTTCGCTGCAGCCATGTGCTCCGGTCTGTGTCTCCCAGGAGCAACATAGCGTGCGAGAATGCTAAGAGGGTATGCGAGGTCAGGTCGTGTGCAGGTCATCAGGTACATGAGGCAGCCAACAAGCTCTGGGTACGGGCCACTCGACTCTACGGACTCATCCGAAGGCAGAGCTGAGAGCGAGTGGCGAGTAGGCAGAGGAGTGGCCTGAGGCGAGGAGTACGTGAAGCCGAAGCGCTGAAGGACCTGCTGCACCATGTATGACTAAGTCAGGGTAACGGTGCGGCGTGCTCTGTCCCGGGTGATCTGCAAGCCAAGGTAGCTGCGCAGTTCACCCACGTCTGTGCACGTGTGTCTCTTCTGCAGCTCGGACTTCACGTGGGCGAGTCCAGCAGTGTCAGCTGTGGCAAAGACCAAGTCGTCGACGTACACGAGGATGTAGAACGGCGGCAAAGAAGTGTCGGTGCGCAGAAACAGCGACGGGTCGGCAGTAGAGGGAGCAAACCCAAGAGCCGCAAGTGTAGTCCTCAGTGTGTCGTGCCACTCACGCGGTGCCTGGCGGAGACCGTAGACTGGCCGCCGGAGGCTCCACTGGGTGCCAGGAGGAAAAGACCCAGTGAAGCCAGGTGGGCGATGCAGCCAGATCTCCTCGTGCAGGCTGCCCTGCAAGAAAGCAGTGCTGAAGTCAAGAGAGTGCAGCTCGTAGTCGCGGTGAGCAGCTATGTGCAGCAGTACCCGAAGAGTGGTCATCTTCGGGGTGGGAGAGAAGGTCTGAAAGTAGTCAACTCCCTGCCGCTGACTGAAGCCACGAGCCACGTAACGTGCCTTGAAGACAGGCGGAGAACCCGGTGGTCGCTTCACCCTGAAAATCCACATGCCACTGACGATGTTCGCCCCAGGCGGGGGAACCTTGTCAACGTAGGTGCCTGTGGACTTCCAGGAAGCCATCTCTGTGTCCATAGCTGCCTGCCACTGAGAGGAGTAGGGACCCTCTATCGCCTCCGCGTAAGAGCGCGGAGTCGGGATGTCAAGTGCATCCGGGTCTCCCTCAGGGGTAAGCAGTACGGACACGAGATGAGGTGAAGCAGCAGCCAAACACTGGAACTCCTCCTGCCTGTCCTCAAGGACGTCCGTGCCAAGGGCACACTCACCCCCGACGGATGGAGGACAGACAGACTCAGACTCAATGAAAAGACTAGCAGCGTAGTCTTGGGGGTGCTGAGCGTGTGGGTGGTACGCCTGGGACAGCGAGCAGCAAAGTCGACGAGCTCAGCAACTAGGGCAGACGCAGCAGTGGACTCAAAGGAAGGGTCAGTGACGACCGTAGCAAGGAGACGCGTGACAGTAGGACTGGCAGCACGAAGAGAGTCCGACTCCGGGTCGGGAAGAGCAGGAAGAGAGGACTCAGGAGGAGAAGGCAAAGGGGCACGCAGAGGAGCAGTGGACGGATGCAGAGACATCCGGTGCGTGCCAGGGACAGGAGGAGGACGCTGACGCGAACCACGGCCACTAGTGCGAGCAAGACGGACAGGCGACGCAGGGCGAGACGCAGGCTCACGACGCTCAGCCAGACCTCCAGTAGGACCAGTGTAGGGAGAAGGAGCGGGCAGTGTGAAGGCCGGCTGTAACTGTAACTGGGACGGGACAGGCTGTGGACACTCTAAGGGAGGAGGAGGACCAGTAGAAGGCGGGAGACCAAGAACCTGCTGAAGGAGCGGAACGAAGTACGGCCGAGGCCGCGCGGCGACTCCAGACACAGCAGGGACAGCACCAGTACCCCCAGCGGCAGCACCAGCGCCAGCAGCACCTCCAGCTCCAGTACCTCCAGCAGCACCAGTAGCACCCCCAGCAGGACCGCCTCCAGGACCGACAGCAGTAGCCTTAGCGCCAACACCCTCAGCAGCTCCAGCTCCACGCGTACCCGCAGGCCCAGCAGCTCCAGTACTCCCAGTACGAGCACCTCCGGGACCCGCGGCACCAGCACCCGCAGCAGTCGAAGAACCTCTAGCTCCAGCAGCACGCCTCCAGCGTCGGGCAAACCACTCTCGCAGCTCCTGTGGAGAGAGTGGCTCCCGCCGAGACGAAGCACCCGGAGAACCTCCAGGCTCAGCACCGCCAGACGCCACACGAGCAGGCCCAGCTCCCTCAGGCTCCGCACCCCCAGGCTCAGCACCTCCAGGCGTAGCACCCCCAGGCTCAGCACCCCCAGGCGTAGCACCCCCAGGCTCAGCACCCCCAGGCTCAGCACCCCCAGTAGTAGCACCCCCAGGCTCAGCACCCCCAAGCTCAGCACCCCCAGTAGTAGCACCCTCAGGCTCAGCACCCCCAGGCGTAGCACCCACACGCTCAGCACCCCCAGAGTCAGCACCCCCAGGCTCAGCACCCTCAGCAGCACCAGAGTCACCAGTAACCTCGACAGGCTCGACTGCGTCTACCTGGGACACACCTGAAGGGGCAGGACCCTGAGGGGGGAGGGGGTCTACCGGGGGGGGACCTGGCACATGGAAGAGCGGTGGCGGGGGGAGGGACGGAGTGCGGTAGGGGAAGAGGCGGTAGTAGGGGACCGACTCGTCAAACGTGACGTCCTGGGAGGACAGAACACGGCGAGAGGTGGGGTGGTAGAACTGCCACCCTGGCGCGTCAGGGGGGAAGCCAAGGAAGACGCAAGGAGCAGCACGAGGGGACAGCTTGTCCGCAGACAAGTCGCGGACAAACGCCCGAGATCCCCAGACACGGAACGCAGACGCATCGCCAACCTTCCCCGTCCACAGCAAAGCTGGGGAGGTCTCCGGCATGGAGACCCTGGGGTGAAGGTTGATCTGATGCGCCGCGTACCGAACCGCAAACGGCCACAGAAAATGGGGGGCAGTCGCATGCATCATGGACGTACGGGCGACGTCCATGACCATGCCAATGCGGCGCTCAGCAATCCCATTTTGCTGTGGAGAGTCCGGAAGCGTGAAGGTCTGGCGGATGCCTCGTGCACGACAGTAGGCTCGCAGAAGGCCAGAGGAGAACTCTCCACCTCTGTCAGAGTGCAGACGCAGAACAGGAAAGTCCGAGCCGAAGCTCTGCCTGAGCTAGAGACGAGCTGCGCGGATCCAGTCGATCAACACCTCAGTGACATCACCCTTGCTGCGCAAGGGGAAGACCGTGGTGTAACGCGAGTAGTCGTCAACCACCAGCAGGAAGTAGCGCTCGTGACCCTGTCCACGGACGCGGGCCGGGCCCCACACGTCCATGTGAAGCGTCTGCAGCGGGGCCTCTGTCGGAGGAAACTGGGAGGAGTGAGGGGCAGCCCGCTGCCGCCCCTCGACACAAGGGACGCAGGTAGGGCCGGGCCCCGTAGGAAGGGGAGGGAGGGACCGGGGAAGACCAGAGACAAGGACACGGGAGGCCATGCCTCGGAGACGAAGTAGGGAGGGGTGACCAAGGCGGTGGTGCCAGAGGAGAGTCTCGTGCGACAGTAGGCGACACGAACAGGGGGCAGACTCAGGACCAGACCTGGACGCTGCAGCAAACACCTGACCCGACGCAACTACCTGACCAGACGCAGTGACTGGAGGAGACGCAGTGGTCAGTGTGTACAGGCTCGACCCCGGCCGACGTGTAAACGTGGCCAGGTGTCGGCCTGTCCGAGCGTCCGTGCAGTGGGTCACCCGCTGACTCGCAGGAGTGAACTGGTGAACCCCCGCATCCTGTAGGTCAGCACCACTCACCAAGTTCGTAGAGAACGAGGGGAGGTAAAGACCAGACAGGGTGCCAGAGGGGGCCGCCGGACACGGGAGGACAGTGGAGAAGTGAGCAAGGACAGGAACCCCCAGAGGGGTCTGCCAGAGAGACTGCAACTGGCCGGCCAAGCGGCGTGAGTGTGGTGCGGTCTCGAAAGAAGGAGCGAGAAGCCCCCGAGTCAAGGGTGAAGGTGTGGGAGGCCGAAGCCGACGCAGTACCTGAGAGAGCAGACTCACCAGCACCTGAGTGAGCAGACGCACGAGCACCTAGAGCAGCAGCCTCGCTAGCACCTAGAGCAGCAGCCTCACCAGTACCTAGAGCAGCAGTCTCAATGCCCGGGTCGGGCGGAAAACACCGGTAACAGTCACCCTCATCACTAATAGTCACAGCATACATGGCAGCAAGAATAGCATCAAAGTCAAGGTCAAAGACAGCTACACCCGCCCTAGACAGCTCGCCCCAGCGGGGGATCTCAGTGGCCTCAGGGAACTGGTGACACCAAGCGTCCGTCAGGCGGCCAAAGCAGCGCTGGGTGGAGTGCGCACCCCCGCACTGCTCACCCGCGCGGTCGCCGGTGCGTAGGACGTAGGTGCACGGACCAGTACCCCCACCCCGCTGGCGTGCAGCGTACCACTCACGGAGCTGCTGAGGGGGGGGGATGTCACGAGTGCGCTGCTGCCGCTGCTGCTGCTGCTGCTGCTGGCGCTGACCACCACCGGAGCCGACCCTCTGCCCAGCGCCACCCCGACCAGCTCCACCTCCTCCGCCGCCGCCTCCTCCACCGCCGCCACCTCCGCCACCTCCGCTCCCACCGCCACCGCCGCCGCCGCCTCCGCCTCCACTGCCGCCACCGACACCTCCACCCCCGCCACCACTCCCACCACCAACCCCACCCCCTCCACTGCCGCCACCGCCACCTCCGCCACCCCCGCCAGCCCCTCCAGCACCCTTGCCCCCCTTGCCCTTGCCGGTGCGGCGTCTCCCGCTCGGGGCAGACGCAGCGCCGACCGACTCAAGACCAACGAGGTCGGCCGCAGCAGCAGAGGCAACAGAGGGCAAAAGGGGGGAGGGGGAACACCCCTCAAAGACGGGGGTGCGAGGGTCACCACGAGAGGCTCCTACAACGACTATGCTCTTCTCTGCTGCTAGGAGGGCCTTCTCGAGGAGGTCAACGGTGAGAGTGGTGGGGCAAACTGAGAGGAAGTGGTCCCTGACTACACGAAGGGAGTCAGGGAGCTGGGTGACTATGTAGTAGAGGGTGATGTACATGGGGGGGGGGTTCTTGGCGCAGAACTCAGCAGGAAGCGCAGCGCGGTAGCGAGTGTCACTAGTGCGGAGGTGCGTAATGAGGTCAGCGACTGTGGGAAAGGCAGCAAGGTCAGGGAAGAGGTACGGTAGCATGAGGCGGCTCAGTGCAGCAGTGGCAGGGGAGGAGTAGCGCGCAACTACAGCGTCGTACAAGGTGTGAGCACTCTTGTACTGGCTAAAGTGCGCACGCTCAGAGGTAGGCAGGTGGCGACGCACAGCTAGACGTGCAGCAGCATCGCGTGTGGCCCACTGTGAGCGAACAGTGGCGTCGGCATCAGCAGCAGGGGCAGGAGAGGCACCAGAGGTGAGGTCAAAGAGGGAGAGACCGTCTGCCCTATCGCACTGTAAGAAAAGCTGCAGGTCATCTACCCAGACGTCAAAGTCAATGGCCCGACCCTCAGCGTCAAAGGCGAGGACACTAGGGGTAGCCATGGCAGCAGTAGACTAGTAGTGTGAACAGTAGGGTAAGGGCAGTGCAGTGATAGAGGCGCTGCTCTTACCGGACAGGGCGGCTCGGGCGGCTCGGCGGCTCGGCAGGACGGCGGCTCGGGCGGCTCGGCGGCTCGGGCGGCTCGGGCGGCTCGGGCGGCTCGGCAACTCGGCGGCCCGGGCGGTTCGGCGGTCGGCTGCTGGGCGGCTCGGCGGCTCGGCGGCTCGGCTGCTCGGCTGCAGGACGGCTCGGCGGCTCGGGTGCTCGGCTGCTGGGCGGCTCGGCGGCTGGTGTGGTTGGTGACGACCGCGGCAACAGTCGCAGAAGCTGTGGCGACTGCTGCTGCAGAGACGGCTGCGGCTGCTGCCTCAGGGACGGCGGCTGCCAGCCGCTAGGGGCCGCGAGGAGCGGCGGAGAGGCCGTGAAGGGCGCCACGAGGGGCCGTCGAGGGCGGCGACAGGCCGTGAGAAGGCCGCGGAAGGCGGCTCGAGGGGCCGCGAGGGGGGGGGCCGTAAGGGGCCGACTGGCGACGGGAGGGGCCGAAGGGGCCGCGGGAGGGCCCGTAAGGGTAGCGCGAGGGGCCGTAAGGGCGGCACGAGGGGCCGTAAGGGCGGCACGAGGGGCCGTGAGGGCGGCGCGACGGGCGCGACGGGCCGTAAGGGCGGCGCGACGGGCCGTAAGGGCGGCACGAGGGGCCGTGAGGGCGGCGCGACGGGCGCGACGGGTCGTAAGGGCGGCGCGACGGGCCGTAAGGGCGGCGCGACGAGCCGTAAGGGCGGCGCTAGGGAGCCGTGAGAGGGCCGCTAAGGGCGACGCGACGGGGCCGTGAGGGGCCTAGTGAGGGCGCGACGGTAGGGAGAGCACACAGGGCGCGACTCGGGCCGGAGCGAAGCGCGCTCCGGTCAGGAAAAAAAATTTTCGTGGTGGTGGGCCCTAGGAATCGTTCCCACTAGGGAACCTGCTCGATACCATGAGAAGAAACGAGGAATGGGAATGACTAAGGGAAAGTTGGGTACAAATGTGAACCCTAGAAAACTGTACCCCATATGTGCTACCCCACTATAGCCTACAGTAGCTATGTCATATAAATCTGACACCCCCAACCCCTTCCCTGCTCCCCCCCATCCCCTTCCCTGCTTTCCCCCTTCCCCTTCCCTGCTTCCCCCCGTCCCCTTCCCTCCTTCCCCCGTCCCCCTCCCAGCATCCCCCCATTCGCTTCCCTGCTCACCCCCATCCCCTTCCCTGCTCCCCCCCATCCCCTTCCCTGCTTCCCCCTATCTCCTTCCCTGCTTCCCCCTATCGCCTTCCCTGCTCACCCCTGCTCCCTCTGTTTCACCCTTGCTCCCTCCCCTTCTTCTCTGCTCACTCTCTTCCCCCTTGCTCACTCTCTTTACTTCTGCTCACTCTGTTCCCCCCTGCTTCCTCTCTTCCCCTCTGTTCAATCTGTCCCCCGCTGCTTCTTCTCTTCCCCTCTGCTCATTCCGTTTACTGTCTTTCCCCCTTCACTCACCCCCATACCCCCCAATGCAGTTACAGGTGCTCAGCACCAGATGTGGCTTTACCACGGCCTGGTTTATTGCTTGCAGTGTAGCAGACAAAACCGGAAAACAACATTACACATACACCCCCTAGCTTTGTTCCCTTCTCGAGTCTGGTGATTCCCCTTACTTTACAGATACGGTAATATATCAATTGTTGAACTCCTTGGTATTGGTCATGTGTATGATTGCTCTGAGGCTCATAATCCTGTATTATAAAAAAAGAATCCAATATATGGCATGGCTATACGTGTGTTACTATCAGACAGCTAGCACATGCACAACCAGATGCAGAGCAGACCTGTCCAAACACAAATCAAGAAGTCAGATGTGACGTGGCTGAAGTATAAGGGAATGACAACTGGCAAATGAGGAAGGGAGGAACGGAGGAAGGGAGGAAGTGAGGAATGCAGGAATGAAGGAAGGGAGGAAGTGATGATGGGAGGAAGGGAGGTAGGGAGGACGCTTGGGGGAGAAGCAGAAGGGAGGGGAGGAAGAGAGGCTGGGGAGGAGGGTGGGGAGGAGGGTGGGGAGGAGGGTGGGGAGGAGGGTGGGGAGGAGGGTGAGGAGGAGGGTGGGGAGGAGGGTGGGGAGGAGGGTGGGGAGGAGGGTGGGGAGGAGGGTGGGGAGGAGGCTGGGGAGGAGGGTGGGGAGGAGGCTGGGGAGGAGGCTGGGGTGGGGCGGAATGGGGTGGGCCAGAAAGGGGTGGGGCGGAATGGAGTGGGGCAGAAAGGGGTGGGGCGGAATGGGGTGGGGCGGGGCGGAATGGGGTGAGGCGGATTGGGGAGATGAGGGATGGGGAGATGAGGGATGAGGAGATGAGGGATGGGGAGGTGTGGGATGGGGAGGAGAGGGCTGGGGAGGAGAGGGATGGGGAGGTGAGGGATGAGGAGGTGAGGGATGGGGAGATGAGGGAAGGGGAGATGAGGAATCGGGAGATGAGGAATGGGGAGATGAGGGAAGGGGTAATGAATGAACGTGTATGCGACGGAAGGGTGCTGCTGACCACGCACCCTCCCACACCCCACGCGATGGGAAGGGATGAGAGGGTGGGCGGCATGGGTAGAGAAGCGATGGTGAATAGGGGGAACGTGATGGGCAGGGGAGTGATGACGACGTGGAGAGAGGAGGAGAGAAGGGAGGTCGGCGGGAAGGCTAAGCGAGGACGATGGGAGGGCAAGCGTGGGCGACAGTGGCGGTGGGCGACGGTGGCGGTGGGCGACGGTGGCGGTGGGCGACGGTGGGGAGAAGCGTGGGCGACGGTGGGGGGAAGCGTGGGCGACAATGGGGGGAAGCGTGGGCGACGGTGGGGGGAAGCGTGGGCGACGGTGGGGGGAAGCGTGGGTGACGGTGGGGGGAAGCGTGGGCGACGGTGGGGGGAAGCGGGGGCGACGGTGGGGGGAAGCGTGGGCGACGGTGGAGGGAAGCGTGGGCGACAGTGGGGGGAAGCGTGGGTGACGGTGGGGGGAAGCGTGGGCGACGGTGGGGGGAAGCGTGGGCGACGGTGGGGAAAGCGTGGGTGACGGTGCTCCGAAGCGTGGGCGACGGTGGGAGGAATCGTGGGCGATGAGAGGGGAAACGTGAGGGAAGGTGGGGAAAGGCGTGAGCGACGGTGTGGGGGAAGGCCGGAGGAAGCGTGAGCGGCGATAAGGGGAAGCGTGAGCGACGGTGGGGGAAAGCTTGGGCGACGGTGGGAAGAGTGGGCGTGTGCGTGGGGAGGTGTGTGAGAGACGGTGGGGAGAAGCGTGGGGGACGCGGAAGGCGATAGGTCCAAATGCGATGTTTGGGAAAGAGCTAGGAATAAAAGTGAAAATGCTCATGGCCTATGCTGTAGTGGCGTTTTATTCTATCTCTTCGCATACTCTAATCGCTTCGCGTACTATGGAAATCACACGACCTGAATTACCGAAGAAGGCAAACTGTGCACATTTTGAGCCCTTGTTCCTTCAGGAGGGTGTGGTTGGGACTCTCGCCAACCAAACCTGTTCTGCTCTACGACTCTGTGTTTCTTGGCGCAATGTTTTCTGGTAACCAGCCTGGCTCGGGAGGTCAACTGTGGGTTCGGTAGGCAAACTGTGCACAGTTTGCCTTCCATTTTTTGTAATTCAGGTCTTGGGCTTTAAATGCGAAATGAGCCTGCTAATATCAGGGTTTCAGCTGCATTTCCTTGTTTCAAACGCTGGATCGTATAGTCGATTTCGAACATCATTGCTCATCGTATAGGACGCATAGTCTACAAACGGGGACGCATGGTCCAGCAAAGCACCTCACATAAAACACAACCCCCCATATCTGTCAAACTTATATGCTATAGTCAGTGTAGGCTGTAGTGGGGTAGTTCATATGGGGTACAACACTTTAGGGTTTCCTACTTGTACTCCTCATGCTGCTCAATGCAATCATTCCTCATTTCTTCACATGGTATAGAGCAGGTTCCCTAGTGGGAACGCTTCTCAGGGCCCACCACTGAAATCGATTTTTTTTTCCTGACCGGAGCGCGAGTCGCCCCTGCCCGAGGCGCGCCCCGTTGGCCGCCCTCACGTCGCCTCTCACGGCCCCTCGTGCCACCCTTAGTGGCCCCGTCGCCACCCCTTACGGCCCCGTCGCCGTCCTTTGCGGCCCCGTCGCCGCCCCTCTAGGCCCCTCGCGGCCCCTTCGTGGCCCCGTCGCCACCCCCTCTAGGCCCCTCGCGGCCCCTTCGCGGCCCCGTCGCCGCCCCTAGCGGCCCCGTCGCCGCCCTTCGAGGCCCCTCGCGGCCCCTTTGCGGCCCCGTCGCCGCCCCTAGCGGCCCCGTCGCCGCCCCTATCGGCCCCGTCGCCGCCCCTAGCGGCCCCGTCGCCGCTCCTAGCGGCCCCGTCGCCGCCCTTCGCGGCCCCGTCGCCGCCATTCGCGGCCCCGTCGCCGCCCTTCGCGGCCCCGTCGCCGCTCCTAGCGGCCCCGTCGCCGCCCTTCACGGCCCCGTCGCCGCCCTTCGTGGCCCCGTCGACGCTCCTAGCGGCCCCGTCGCCGCCCTTCGCGGCCCCGTTGCCGCCTCTAGCTGCCCTGTCGCCGCCCTTCGCGGCCCCGTCGCCGCCTCTAGCGGCCCCGTCGCCGCCTCTTGCGGCCCGTCGCCGCCTCTAGCGGCCCCGTCGCCGCCCTTCACGGCCCCTTCAGCTGCCAAGCAGCCGAACCGACGAGCCGCCGAGCCGGCCAGCCGCCGAGCCGCCCAGCAGCCGAGCCGCCCAGCAGCCGAGCCGCCCAGCAGCCGAGCCGCCCAGCAACCGAGCCGCCCAGCAGCCGAGCAGCCGAGCCACCGAGCCGCCGAGCCGCCGTCGAGCCGCTACTGTTCCTACCGGCGCGCACCGGCCCTACCCACCCGGACTGGTGAGAGCACTCCCTACTAGCCTACTGCTGTCATGGCTACCCCCAGTGTCCTTACCTTTGATGCTGAGGGTCGTGCTGTTGACTTTGAGGTCTGGGTCGATGACCTCCAGCTCTTCCTACAGTGCGATAGGGCAGACGGACTCTCCCTGTTTGATCTCACCTCTGGTGCCTCTCCTACCCCACCTGCTACTGCTGACAGCACTGTTCGCTCACAGTGGGCCACACGCGATGCTGCTGCCCGTCTTGCTGTGCGTCGCCACTTACCGACCACTGAGCGTGCGCACTTTAGTCAGTACAAGAGTGCTAAGACCTTGTACGACGCTGTAGTTGCACGCTACTCTTCCCCTGCCACTGCTGCTCTTAGCCGCCTCATGCTGCCGTACCTGTTCCCTGACCTTGCTGCCTTTCCCACAGTCGCCGACCTCATTACGCACCTTTGCACTAGTGACACTCGCTACCGCGCTGCGCTTCCTGCTGAGTTCTGTGCCAAGAACCCCCCCCCCATGTACATCACCCTCTACTACATAGTCACCCGGCTCCCTGACTCCCTTCGCTTAGTCAGGGACCACTTCCTCTCAGTTTGCCCCACCACACTCACCGTTGACCTCCTCGAGGAGCACCTCCTGGCAGCAGAGAAGAGCATAGTCGCTGTAGGAGCCTCTCGTGGTGACCCTCGTACCCCCGTCTTTGAGGGGTGTTCCCCCTCCCCCCCTCTTGCCCTCTGTTGCTTCTGCTGCTGCGGCCGACCTCGTTGGCTTCGAGTCGGTCGGCGCTGCGTCTGCCTCTAGCGGGAGACGCCGCACCGGCAAGGGCAAGGGGGGCAAGGGCGCTGGGGGGGCTGGCGGGGGCGGTGGAGGTGGCGGTGGAGGCAGTGGAGGGGGTGGGGGTGGTGGTGGGAGTGGTGGCGGGGGTGGAGGTGTCGGTGGCAGCAGTGGAGGCGGAGGAGGCGGCGGCGGTGGCGTTGGGAGCGGAGGCGGCGGAGGTGGCGGAGGCGGCGGCGGCGGCGGCGGTGGAGCTGGTCGCGGCTCTGCACAGAGGAGTGGCTTCTGTGGTGGTCCGCGCCAGCTGCAGCAGCGCACTCGTGAGACCCCGTCCCCCCAGCAGCTTCGTGAGTGGTACGCTGCGCGTCAGCGAGGTGGGAGTACTGGTCCCTGTACCTACGTCCTCCGTACCGGCGACCGCGCTGGTGAGCAGTGCGGGGGCTCGCACTCCACCCAGCGCTGCTTCGGCCGCCTGACGGACGCTTGGCGTCACCAGTTCCCTGACGCCACTGAGATCCCTCGCTGGGGAGAGCTGTCTAGGGCGGGGGTTGCTATCTTTGATCTTGACTATGATGCTATTCTTGCTGCCATGTATGCTGTGTCTACTAGTGATGAGGGTGACTGTTACCTGTGTGTTCCGCCTGACCCGGGCATTGAGGCTGCTGCTCTAGGTGCTGGTGAGGCTGCTGCTCTAGGTGCTAGTGCGTCTGCTGCCCCAGGTGCTGGTGAGTCTGCTCTCTCAGGTACCACGTCGGCTCAGGCCTTACACACCTTCACCCTTGACTCGGGTGCTTCCCGCTCCTTCTTTCGAGACCACACCACGCTTACGCCGCTTAGTCGGCCGGTTGCGGTCTCCCTGGCGGACCCCTCTGGGGGTCCTGTCCTTGCTCGCTTCTCCACTGTCTTACCGTGTCCGGCAGCCCCCTCTGGCACCCTGTCAGGTCTCTACCTCCCCTCGTTCTCTACGAACTTGGTGAGTGGTGCTGACCTACAGGATGGGGGGGTTGACCAGTTCACTCCTGCGAGTCGGCGGGTGACCCACTGCACGTGTGCTCGGACGGGCCGACACTTGGCCACGTTTACCCGTCGGCCGAGGTCGAGCCTGTACACACCGACTACTGAGTCTCCTCCGGTTGCTGAGTCTGGTCAGGTAGCTGCGTCGGGTCAGGTGTTTGCTGCAGCGTCCAGGTCTGGTCCTGAGTCTGCTCCCTGCTCGTGTCGTCTCCTGTCCCACCAGACTCTCCTTTGGCACCACCGCCTTGGTCACCCCTCCCTGCCTCGTCTCCGAGGCATGGCCTCCCGTTTTCTTGTCTCTGTTCTCCCCCGGTCCCTCCCTCCCCTCCCTCCGGGGCCTGCCCCTACCTGCGTTCCCTGCGTCGAGGGGCGGCAGCGCGCCGCCCCTCACTCCTCCGAGTTTCCTCCGACAGAGGCTCCTCTGCAGACTCTTCACATGGACGTGTGGGGCCCCGCCCGCGTCCGTGGCCAGGGTCACGAGTGTTACTTCCTGTTGGTGGTTGACGACTACTCGCATTACACCACGGTGTTCCCCTTGCGCAGCAAGGGTGACGTCACTGAGGTGTTGATCGACTGGATCCGCGCAGCTCGTCTCCAGCTCAGAGAGAGTTTCGGCTTGGACTTTCCTGTTCTGCGTCTGCACTCTGACAGAGGCAGGGAGTTTTCCTCTGCCCATCTGGGAGCCTTCTGTCGTGCACAGGGCATCCGCCAGACCTTCACGCTTCCGGCCTCTCCACAGCAAAATGGGATTGCTGAGCGCCGCATTGGCATGGTCATGGACGTCGCTCGTACGTCCATGATCCATGCGGCTGCTCCCCATTTTCTGTGGCCGTTTGCGGTTCAGTACGCAGCGCATCAGCTCAACCTTCAGCCCCGGGTCTCCTTGCCAGAGACCTCCCCCACCTTGCGGTGGACGGGGAAGGTTGGCGATGCGTCTGCGTTTCGGGTCTGGGGATCTCGGGCGTTTGTCCGCGACTTGTCTGCGGACAAGCTGTCCCCCCGTGCTGTTCCCTGTGTCTTCCTTGGCTTCCCCCCTGACGCGCCTGGTTGGCAGTTTTACCACCCCACCTCGCGCCGTGTTCTGTCTTCCCAGGACGTCACCTTTGACGAGTCGGTGCCTTACTACCGTCTCTTCCCCTACCGCACTGCGCCCCTCCCCCCGCCGCCGCTCTTCCTTGCACCAGGTCCTCCCCCGGTAGACCCTCTCCCCCCTCAGGGTTCTGCCCCGTCAGGTGTGTCTCAGGTAGACGCAGTCGAGCCTGTCGAGGTAGCTGTTGACTCTGGTGCTGAGTCTAGGGGTGCTGAGCCTGCGGGTGCCGGGTCTGGGGGTGCTGAGCCTGGGGGTGCGGAGCCTGGGGGTGCTGAGCCTGGGGGTGCGGAGCCTG